TCAAAACCAAATCTGTCAATTTTGTGAAAGGCTGAGATTAAAGAGTTTTTTGAATCTGGGTTCACTATTCAAGAGGTTAAACAGAAAATGAGTCAATAAGGATCAGTAAGTCCAGTGTGTGTGTGTGTGTGTGTGTGTGTGTGTGTGTGTGTGTTAGAGTGGGGAGAAGGGAGGGAAGATTAAATAAAATAAAATCAAGAAACACCGTGCAGGAAGTAATAAAAGGCACCAGCAATAGCACTTCGTTCCATTCAGAGTCTGACATAATTTTAAAGGCAATATCATGATAACAATGTGTATTTAAACTCCACATACTTAAACCAAAATGTCTTTATCATAGTTAATTTGCATTTCTTGTCTATGTAAAAGTGTGGGGCAAAAATTTCTATTGGTCTTAGGGTTCTGAGATGCACACACATATAAAAAAAACACAGAGATACATATATATACATACACTATATATGTACATATATACCTACATATACCTATAAATACATATATAATCTCTGGATCAGAGATTTCTTCCTAGAATAAGGTGTCTATTCCATAGACTTCTCACTTTAATTCTCTTAAAGCTGACCTATAAACCAGGTAATGATTATCTGCTTAACAATTACCAAAGAGCTTTGGAGATTCAGGATTCCCCACTTTGTAAACTCTTAAATCTCTTCTGTTCTCCCATGTTGATGAGTAGGTGGAGGACAAACACTGAGATAATGCCAAGTCATTGGCACCATTTCCTGACTCTTTCTATCAAAGCTTGAAAGGGGCTTTTCTCCATACCCTTATACCTACTTGGAGTACTTTAATCATGCTCAAAAAGTTTTAGTTTCTATTTACTATCCCTAGGATAAAATTCAAACTCTTCTGGGTTCCAGCCAAGCTGGCCTACTTTCTGATCCCTGTATACAACATATCATCTCCCAATGCCTAGAATGAATTTCCTTCTCATTTCAGCCTTTTAGAATTCTTGACTTGCTTCAAGGATCAACTCAAGTCCCACTTTCTACATATAACCTCTTCTAATTCCCCAATTTATTGGTGCCTTCCCTGTAATTAATTTGTATCTACTTTGTATATCATTTGCATTTACTTTTTGTCCCCAATAGAATATAAACTCCTTGAGGTCAGGAATTGATTCATGTATTGTCTGTAATCTTCTGCTTCAAGTAGAATATCCGACTGTTGATTATTGAATCTTGCATGCCTGGAATAGACTCTTTTCATTTCCATCTTTTGAAGTTGATCCCTTCTTGATTCAAATTCCACTTCCTCAGACAGAGAAAATAAAGAAAACAGGGAGATGGCACACAAGCTTTGTGATACAACAAGAATCATAAATATCTCAGATTTGGAAGGCACCTATATAAAAGGTCATATGGTCCAACCCTGAATAAGCATGCCCTCTACAACATAATTGATCAATGGTCTTCCAGACTTCGACAGGAGACCTCCAGTGAAGAAGAATACACTTTCCCAAGTTGACCTATTCTACCTATGGATAACTTTAATTGTTAGGAAGTTTCTCTTACATCTAACCTAAATTTATCTCTGTAAGACTTACACCCACTATTCCTAGTTCTACCATCTGCTATCAAACAGAATAAATCTAATCTTTCTTCCACATTATCCCTTCAGATATTTGAAGAAAGCTACAAAGTCTCCCCTCAGACTTTTCTTCACCAAACTAAATATACCCAATTCCACCAGCTGATTATCATTTGGTGTAATCTCAGGACCCTCTACCATACTGGTGGCTTTCCTCTGAAAACTCTCCAGTTTACCATTGACCTTCCTAAAATGTGGTCCTCTAGAATTGAACACAGTACCCCAGATATGATCTTACCGGGGCAGAGAACAGAGGGATTATCACCTTCCCAGAACTACTGAACTCTGTAGTTTTCTTAACGCAGTTTAAGATCACCTTAGACTTTTGGGTCGTCATGTCACCAGGTTGACTTCTCTTTAATTTCCAGTCTATTAAAATCTTCAATTCCTTTCAGTTGAACTGTTGCTTAGTCCCCCATCTTGTACTCAAAAAGTTGATATTTTGAATCCAACTATAAGACTTTACATTTATTCAATATCATTTTATTTGACTCAAAGTGGTCTAAAGCTACTGAAATTTTTTGTATGACATTCCTATCATGCAAAGTGTTAACCTATCTCTTCCAGCTTCCTATCATTTGCAAATTTTAATAGTGATAAATTATCAATAAGCAATTATCAAGTGCCTATTATGTGCTAAGAAAAATAAAGGTAATCCTTGCCTTCAAGGTGCTTACAATCTAATGGAGGACGACAACATATAAAAAGAAGTATTTGATAAGCATTCTATCCATGTTTTTACCCAAGACATTTATAAAAATGTTGAACACCACAAAGTGAAGCCCAGATCTCTAGGACTCCTCCTTCTAAGCTGACTTTTTGGGTTCAGCATTTAACCAGTTCTGAAATGCACTCATCTATACTTTCTTCTAGCCTTCATCACTGCATCTTGTCAACAAAAAGAGAATGACAGGCGTTATCAAATGCTCTGCATATGCACCTAATACGGTGCCTAGCAGAGTAGGTGTTTAATAAATGTTTATTGTTGACTGACTGCTGAAATATAGGTAAATTATATCTACAGCATTTACTTGTAAAGAGAAAATGGAAAAAGAGTAGTAAGTCTGACTTCCAGAAGGAAGGAAGGAAGGAAGGAAGGAAGGAAGGAAGGAAGGAAGGAAGGAAGGAAGGAAGGAAGGAAGGAAGGAAGTCTGGCTTAATCTGTTCTCTTGGATGGAGAGTTGATCCACAAAGCAATCAATTGACATAGCCTTTTCCAAGAATAATGGCAGTATCGGATCTGACTACTGAGCCCAGAGTAAGAGTTGGAAAGTCGGGAGGGGAAGGGAGGAAGAAGAGAGGGAAAGGAGGAAAAAGTATAAAAGGTATATTCCCGCTGGCAGGGGAGATATCAAGATGGCAGGATGGCTGGATGGATAACATATGATGGGTGGTCTGGAAACTGGTTTACACTTACTTCTTCATCAGTCAAGATGACAGCCCAGGGCACTTTTTGACTTAGCCTGAGATGCTTTTCTAGATGGGGAGAAGTGGGGCAACAGTAGTGCCAATGGCAAGATGGCCAAGATAGGCAGCTGGGTGTGATGTGAAGTGCGGTCTAGTCTGATTGTCTGGGACCAGCTGGATACAATAGGTCAATTGAGTTTGTGCTCACTTACTATTCAAGAAAATTGGTATTCTTTATCACTAGTGCATTGTTATTCCTCCTGAGAGTTTTTCCATATATCCTGTTCTGTCCCTAATTAGCTAGTCTCTTTCTTTAGCTATATATATATATATGTATATATATATATATACACACACATATATATACAAAGCTATAAAAAGGAATATGCCACTATATATGGATGCCCAGTTTCGGTATCCATTCCCTGTTCACTTATCATACCTGAGCTAGCCAGACTATTTATTTACAAGAGAATATTAATTCATAATAATTTAATAGGATAAGGTAATTAAAAGCATAATGGAGAATGGGGATGTCATTGGATCGTAGGCTAAATTTAGTGCTACAGAGCTAATAGTTACACCCAGAGTCAAATGTCCCCCCACTACCACCACCACCACAATCACTACTACCAAAGCTGTTAATTCAGTCTGATTTGCTAATGTGCATCTCTACTGGGTTTGCCTGCTTTCTGCCCGCTCAGTCAATTCTAGTTTAGCTTTCCCACATGTCTGTTCTTCTCTCAGTCTTGTCTTCCCACCTCCATGCATCCTCAACAAAGAGATCTCACTCCATGCTTTGTATTTCCGGCCTTTCATTGACAGAGGACTGCGTACCTGTCCCACCCCCTTGCTTCTCCTGGCAGGAGAACAACATACCTAAGGTGAATATACTTTCTCTTTCTTATCTCTCCACCTACATGTGCCCCCAAAATCTGAACTGAAGTTTCCTTCAAGCCCAAGGAATCAGAAATCTGGATATTCTTGCACATGTGTGTGTCTTCCAAGTCTCTAAGCCCTTTCGTGCAACAAAGTTGGTCTATAGACGTACCTATGAAAGAAAAGTGCCAAGCCCAAGGCTAGATAACATTTACTGTAAATGTTCTAAATATATCTGCAACTAAAGTTTCCCAGCACTAACTGGACCTTGTGATTCTCTCTGGGCTTTAAATACTTGCCAAAGATAACTGATCCTCTGCCTGTCCTATCCCAAGAATAGCACCATCTGTTTTAGAATACAACCATGAAGATTTGGGATTTGCACACCTAGATGATCTGATGGGAGTTCATTTGCCCAATTATAATCCCATGCTTTCTATCAGCCAATGAGCAAGCCTCCTGTTCTGCTGTTCTTTATCCATATTCTGTATTGGCTACCAACCTTTTCTATCACCATATAACCTCTGTACACCCTAGGCAAGGCTATAAAAATAAGTAGAGTTTTCCTAGCACCTCAAAAATCAGACTAATTTCAATCCATTACCTGGTATAGCCACAAACTTTATAAAAGACAACCCTTCCATTATAAAAGCATCCTAAAATTATAGAATTTTAAAACTGGAAGGAATCTTAATGAACCGGCCCAACTTCCTTGAAGGACACTTGGGTCTATCTTGATTGTTTAAGTGATTTCCCAAAGACCTCACAGAAAATTAGCAGCAGAACCAAGAATAAAGCTAAGTCTCCTATTCCCTGGTTCAGTGCCCTTTTGAACTATATCATGTAGTTCATATACAGGAAGCTGCTAAGTGGTACAGTAGACAGTGGATGACCTGAGTTCAAATCCAACCTCAGACACTTAATAGCTGAGTGACCCTGGGCAAGTCATTAACCGTGGCAGGCTGCCTCAATCTTCTCACCTGTAAAATGGGAATAATAATAGCACCTACCTCTCAAGGTTGCTGTGAGGATAAAATGAGGTAATAGTTGTAAAGCACTTTCCAAACCTTAAAGCACAAGCTATTGTTATTTTCCCTAGTACTCACCATCACTGGATGTTTCTAGCAGAGAAATCTTAAAGCTTTGATCTTTTCTTGAGGTCAGGGATCATACTTCATTCATCTTTGTATCCTCCATAGCACCTAGCACGGTAGCACATGTTCAATAACGTTTACTGAAGAGAATGAACGAATATTGGGAGATTACAGGCTTGTCATATCACAGGTACATAACAAGGGCCACAGCCCTTAGTAGATGTGAAGCTAGGAGCACTATTGGTTAAAAAAACCAAAACTGGAAGTGTTCACCTGAGTTTCTCTGCCAACATTTCTATGGTAAAGTCAATAACTGGTCTGCAGGACAAATGATTAATCACCTAGAGGTTTTCTTCCATGGCAGCTTGCATGGCAAAAAGAACAGTTATTCTCTACATATGAATTTTGCCTTCTCTGCAATAATTCACACAGCTTAAGAGGACTCCTGAAAATACCCCTAGGTGCCATCTAGCTGGACAGAATTAATAGAAGTAAAGGATGGTGAAAAAATCCTAATTTTGGAAAAATCTTTCTTAAGCTTTCCCTGCACATTTTAAATTACACAAGCCATGTAGCCTAAATCAATAATTCAAGGAAAGAGCATGCTACCTGAACTTTGTTCACATGAAACATTGCTCTTGGTGCATACACATGATCAGGGAGTGAGTCACTAACTGGAGGAAACAGAGTATGATGGAAAGGGGCATGAAATTTGGAATCAGGCCACGGGCTCTTCGCCTGCAAGGTACATCCACTCTTTCATTCACTAAGCACTTATGAAGTACCTACTACGTGCTAGAGATCCAAAGACAAAATAAAAATAGTCCTACCCTCAAAGAGCTTACATCCTACTTGAGAAAAAGAAAAATAGTAACAAAGAAATAAATACAAACTATAGACAAAGTAATTACAGGCAGCAGTGACTAGGGTAGTGGGGGAGGGGAGCTAGATAAGGAAAGGTAGGAGCTAGTACTTGACCCAAGCCTTGAAGGAAGTTAAGGATTTGAAAAGATTTAGGGGAGGAAGCAGTGTATGCCAGGCAATTTCCATTGCAAATAGCATGGAGGCAGGGGAGGGAATATTGTGTAGATGGAACAAAAAGTCAGTTTAACTGGCGTGGGGGGGGATAAGGTGCGATCAGCCTTGGAAAGGTTGTTAGGAGCTAGATTGCCAAGGGCTTAGCATGCCAAACAAAGAGTCTGTGTTTTATCCAAGAGCCAAAAGGGAACAGGAGAGCTCCTTGAGCAAGGGAGGAACCTGGTCAAGCCTGTGCTTTAGGAATAGCAATTAGCAGCTGAGTAGAAAGCATTGACTTCAGGCAATGAGAGCAAAAGAAAGTTATTGCAATAGTCCATGTGAAAGGTGATGTGATGGCAGCCCAAGTGGAGAAAAAGGGACAGATGTGAAGGATGGTGTGGAGGCAGAAGTGACAAGACCTGGCAACTGATTATACACAGGGGATGAAGGAGAATGAAGAATCAAGGATCTAAGGGGGCAAACTGGGGTGATGAGAGGATAGCGGTAACTGAGAAAAAAAAAGTTTAAAAGAAGGGTAAGTTGGGGGAAAAGTTCTGCTTGGGACTTTTTGAGCAGTCTGTAAGATATTCAGTTCAAAATGTCCAACAGACTGTTGGTATTGCAAGCCTAAAACTCAGAAGCAAGACTACTGTTGGATATAAAAATCTGGGAGTAATCCAAATTAAATTAATCATTAACCCATGGTAACTCATAAAATCACCAAGAAGGGGTGTGGAGAAATAAAGGAAAAGGTAACAAGAGAATGCCTCAGCAGATACCCATGATCAGGAAAACCCAGGAAGGAGGGAGTACAATAATAATAATAATAATAATAATAATAATAATGATAACAACAACAACAATAACTACCATTTATATAATGCTTTAAGGTTTTCAAAGTGTGTTACAAATATCTTCTCATTTTATCCTCATAATAACCGTGGGAGTTAGATGCTATTATTAGCCTGATTTTATAGATGAGGAAACTGAGGCAGGTAGAGGTCTGATGACATGCCCAGAATCATATAGCTAATAAATGTCTGAGGTCAAATTTGAATTCAGGTATTCCTAACTCCAGATCTACTCGATCTACTATGCTACCTAGTTTTTTGTTTGTTTGTTTTTGTTTTGTTTTTTGCAAGGCAATCAGGGTTAAGTGACTTGCCTAGGGTCACACAGCTAGTAAGTGTCAAGTGTCTGAGGCCGCATTGGAATTCGGGTCCTCCTTACTGACTCCAGGGCTGGTGCTCTATTCACTGTGCCACCTAGCTGTCCCCTACGTGTTGTTAGTTGTGTCAAATGCTGCAGAAAGATTCAGCTGGATAACAACTGGGGGGAAAACTGAGTTTTAGCAACTGAAAGACCACTGGCAATATAGAAGAAAGCCATTTCAATGACTTAATGGGGCTGGGATCCAGATTGTGAGGAGCTGAGAAGTAAATGAAAGGATCATAAGTAAAGCAAAGACATTTTTTTTTTGGTAGGAGTCTGGCCATGAACAGGAGGAGAGATATAGGAAGATAGTTTGAGGGGATAGCAGTATCAAATGAATGCTTTTTAAAGATGTGGGAAATACGAGCATATTTGTAGGCAACAGAAAACAAGCCAGGAGAGAGGAAGATACTAAGATTTCAGAAAAGGAGGACAACTGAAGAATGAGAGAAGAGCTATGCTGTCAAGGCATTTTGAGATGTAAAGTACGAAAAAAGAGGTTGCACAAATAGTCTCTGTTTTCACAATAAAATATGAGGCAAGAGCCTCTGCAGAGGATGCACTTACAATATATGACTAGTATAATGGTGTCAAACTCAAATAGAAACAGACGAAGGGGAGCATTTCAATTTAGAAAACCACAGATTGACATTATCTATGGTATATTGTATTTTTCATGTATTTTATTAAACATTTTCCAATTACATTTTAATCTGTTTTGAGCTGCAGCACTGGGCATTTTTGTGGGTGGAGAGTCTGACACCTGTCCTCTATGTTTTCCTGATTTGCTACTTGGAAAAATTGGTAATTTGATTGTCAGAGATTAAATGTACTTCTATAAAGCATTAAATATATGGAATAGTTCCTGAGAAGATTATATATATTTCTTTTGGCACAACTAGTAGAGTACTAACCAGGAAAAATATCATTTTTTCCTAGTATAGAGCCAGTCTAAACCAGAGGACAAAAAACTGGGTATTTGCCCATGTAAATTTGAGTGAATAGTTACATAATTTGCCAATTTACCATCTGCTGTTATCCCTGCCTTTCTAAAAGCCTGCAAATAATTTTCATGATTTTTTTTTAGTTGTACTTTTTTTTCCAGCTCTCAGTTACAACGCATGTAGGTATGAACTGTGTTAGCCCAGAAATTTTGCTTCTTAAGATTAAAAGCAGACATGCCAAATAGGATCCCAAGATAAGTGCATTTTCAAGCAAATTCATTGTAAATTTAGTAATGCTGAGTATTGGACCATGTGTCACGAGGGAGTGAAAAGAGTGTAATCCCTTGAGCTATGTTATCCCTAAATAAATTAGTCCTCACATGCTAAATTCACAGTCCCATCCATTTCCAACTATACATAAGATACTGTTTTAGTAGGCACAAACCCACTTTTACCCAAGCCCTGAGGCTTTAAATTGCTATACAAAGAAACTGAATATGTATTTAAAATTAGATCTACTTACATATTCTAAAAATACACATCCAACATTCCTAGCAAGCAAGTGTCATACTCCTCTTTCCGTCATTTTAGATTATTCTCTTATAGTCAGTCCTGTGCTATGGCTCTCCCCAGCACAGTCAGCTGGTGACTCCATAGGCCTAACCAGGAAAAACAAACAGTGAATTCAAACAGCTACCTTTTATCTATCATGTATGTATTCATTTATTTGGGGAGGGTCAAATTATCTCAGAAAATAAGCTGGTCTTGTGATATCTAACTTGTAAACAGAGTTGTCATGCAAAAAACTGGAAGAAGCTCAATCTCTCCTTCACATCTGGAAGAGTACATACCCTTCCAGGCACAAAGAGGAGGGTATTCTCTTCCACTCCCATTCCAGGCTCCTGCTATCTGATGCAATTCCTGGATTCCTTAGAAAATAGCCCAGCTGTTCTCAGGCTCCACCCCAAGCTTAGCCTACATGTTTCCAGACGGCCAAAAAAAGATTTCAGACCTTGCATTAGGACTCTCTCTGAAGAGGTGATAAATATGTCAGCATTAGGAACATAGAGGCCTCAGACAGGAGAGGACACATCATTACCGCAAAAGTCCTCTGGAAAACATTCTAGCATCAACCCGCAGAACTCAAAGGGGTAAAGCACCAGGGAAACCAAAGGGAGTGAGATCATGCTGTTGTACCATGGTGTTCCCTAGAATACATGTAAGACCAGTTCCCCCTAAATTTTATCCATCATGAGGCTATCTCTATATGATAATATCCAAGAAAGGAATTATTGCTTCGTGTACTTTCTGTTTCTGCCACGTCCTCAGGAGGGGGGCCAAAACAGCAGTGTCAAGAAGGGATCTGGAAAGGATGTTTCGTTGGTTCTGTATTGTCAAGTCATGCTTGGATGTGATTGATAGGGTAAATGTTCTTCCCAGGGTGACTCATAGGATCACAGAGCTGAAAGGAACCTTAGAAGTCACCAGATTTTGTCTTACTGATGAGGTAACTGTATGGTCTTTGGCAAATCACTTAATCTCCCTGGGGCTCAGTTTCCTCACCTGTCAAATGAGTGGATTGGACAAGTTACCCTCTAAGGCCCCTTCCAGTCTAACATGTATGATCCTTTGAGACTCCAAAGAGCCTCAAAGCGACTGGCAATGGTAATCACAGAAACAGTAAATAGCTGAGCTATGAGCCAAACCCTGCTTTTCTGAGTCCCAGCTGAGGGGTCTTTCCACTATACTCTCCCTACTTCTCCACCAAGGCCATTGGAAATATTTAGGGCTGTCCCTCAAATCCACCTAAGAGCAACACAGACCCATTGACAGAAATTACAGCGTCTGGCAATTTGTATTCGGCTACAGAGAGCTCTCAGAAAATCTGTTCCTCAGTTTGGCTCTGCTTCTTGGAATCCCCAGCTTCTTTGAAAGCTCTGCTTTTCCTGGTCCTCCTCCCATTCCTCCAGCTGTTAACACTCAAAGGTAAATGGAAAGAATGACCACCACCAAACGATTGAAATTGAACGTTGCCCAATCACAAAGAAC